TTAAAAAAAATTTAATAGATATTATTAATTAACTTTAAGAATTATGAGGGGTCGGATACTTATGACCGCTACTGTATGATAAATCTAAAAATTTTATTTTATTCATTAGATATTAAAATATTTACAGTTTAAGGAATAATAATTAATTATTATAAATTTATTAGCTGTTACCTTATTATAAAGTAATAGAAGAACTTCAAATATTTTTCATTTAACTTACAAATGATATATAGTAAATATAATAATTCAGATAATATTAATATTATAAATATAATAATATTACTATTAGATTTCTTTCATTAAGATAAATTTAATAATATAAATTTTATCAAATTCTAATTAGTAGATTACTTAAAAATTAGGATATATAAGATAATGAATTTTGAAAACACTCTGCAATATACAATTTTAACTAAAAACTCTAATGTGAATTATATTAGAAAAGTTCAGAATCCTACAATAAGAACAAATTATGTGATATTACATTAATTTTAAAATTAAAAATTTATGTAATTTATTTGTATAACTGTAACACATTTTTTCTTAAGAAGCATTTTTCTTTTAGAAATTCATGTAATGTTATATAATTTAATCATTATTATTTATATATGTATTCTAAATGTGATTATTATACACAAAAAAATTATTATAATTAATAAATAATATTAAAACTTATAAAATATAAATATATAACTATCTAAAAATATAATATTTATAATATTATTAATATTTACTAAAAATAAATTATAATAATTAATTAAAATTTATTATAATATTAAAAACTTAAAAAAATAAATTATATTTAAAAGTGAAATTAAACAAAATATATAGTATTTTTAATATTAATATTAAAATTAATATTAATAATTTAAATAAAAAAAAAAGAATTTGTTTAATAAATAAATATTAAAATTCTTTTTAAATAAATATATTATGGTTTTTTATATCTTATTATCTTTTACTTTTTTTTAATGTTTTAAAATTGTAATTATATGATAAATAATTTTGCAATAAAAAAAAGAAGAAAACCTGCTAAAAAAAATCTATTTTATTTATATATTAAATATTATTTTTAGATTAAAATATATTTAGATTTAGTATTAATTCATTTTTCTTTTTTTTTAACTTTTTTTCATAAAGGTTATTATAAATATAAATATTAATAAAATACTTAATATTTATTTAACAAATTTTAAAAGCAAATATTAAATTCATTATAATATTTATTATTAGCTAATATTACTTATTTTAGGAATTAATCATATATAATAATTATATATTTAAAGAGAAAACATAAAAAGTGAATGAAAATATATTAATTATATCTATTATTATTATTTTACTTATATTATAATCTGAATTAAAAAAACTAAAATTTTTTTTGATACTAAAAACCTAATTATTCAATGAATATTATTAGTTATATTTACTTAAAACCTTTTTTGTAAAAATTATTTTTAAATTAATATTTTATTTGTCTATTTGCAAATTAAAAATATATAATATAAAATATTAAATAATTTTTTCATTTATTTTATTACATTTTAAACTCATTTGCTTTTTAAATAATATTTCTTTAGATTTGTATAAGAAGTATAAGAGTATAAAGATCATAAGGAATACAAGAAGGAGAAGTATTAAAAGAAACAGAAGAAATTGTTGATGAAGAAAACATTTTGTTATTAAATATTAAAATAAAATTATTTTTATTTATAAAAAAATAAGAAAAAGAAACTAATACATTAGCATTTATTGACAAATTATTTATTTAAATTTATTTGCATTCAGAAATTTTTATATTTATTGATTTTGTTAGTTGGTATTTTTCGATCGGTATTTGCGTAAAGATTTTTAACTTTGGTTTAACTATCGAAATATTATCATCTGTATAAAAGGCTTACTTTAAAAATTTTATAATTCAATGCTAGTTGAATGATAAAAATAGTTAAAGTATCGGAATCGGAAAATTATAACAAACAAATAAATTATTTGGCGTTAAAAGTTTAAATACGGTAAACCAGAATAAAGTCTATCTTTATCAGTCCTTTTCTTTTCGCACGAAGAAGAACTATTTTTAAGATTTTTTTCTAATGTACAAGATAATAAATTTAGTTTAAAATACCCTTCATGATAAACCGCAGACAACCTAAAATTAGCCATACGACCGCCACAGCTCAAATTCATCATAGATTTTTATTATATGAAAAATACGCGTTTGTCACGTAAAAATATTTCATATATTGTAAGTGGCTTATTATCCACATGAAATTATCACATGATTTTCATAATTAATGTAAATATTATGTAGTGCTTGTAATACGGTGCAGATCCGACATTCTGACACAATATTTATTTCATCGAATGGCTGGTGCCAAGAACTCCTCGGGCATAAGAGAATTTAAAAATACCTAGTCACAATAGTATGAGAAATCATCATCGTCATATTTTTAATTATATTAAAAGTAATAAGCTTTTTATTATGTCATTAAAACGGTTTATGTAACGTTAAAATAAGGGAACGTCATTAATACGTTAGGGTCAGCTCATCTTAACTATAATCGGTTTGAGAAAAACGTCATGTATTTATGGCGTTTAAATTTTCTATTATAAAGACCTCAAAAGTTTCCCACTGCGAAAAAAGCAAAATAATTCCTCACATATCAAAAAAAATTTCACACTAAAATCAAATAAAAAATAATCTCATTCAAATGGCCGTCACTTTTTCTGATATTTTCAAAATCTTTTTCGCCATCTTCCTCCCACCTTTAGGTGTCTTGTTAGAAAAAGGATGTGGTGCTGACCTCTGTATTAACATACTCTTAACACTTCTTGGTTATTTACCTGGTATGTATCAGCATTTCAAATAAATAAATTTTTAAATAAATTAAATTAATTAATAAATAAAAAAAAAAATTTTTTTTTTCACATTAGGTATCATTCACGCTATTTACATCATCTTTAAATACTAGACGAGTAACCCAAGCTATTAATTTTCATATATATATCAAAGACAATAACAATGCTAGAATAAAAATAAATCACATTATATAAACTATTTTTGTATTCTATAAAAAAATAAATCACATTATATATACTATTTTTGTATTCTATAAAAAATTTTTTTTTCGCTATTATCATATAAAATTGTTAATCAATTACAATCAGTCTTATTTATTGTTTAGGCACACAAATAAAATGCAAAAAAAAAAAAAAATTTTTTTAATATTTTACCCAAACAAATAATATTTAATTTAACCCTAATAAAAGACAATAAAAAAAAAATGACTTTTTTTTCATTTTCTTTGCGATGGAAAAATGGACACGTGTGCATTTAGTGAGCCTCATTATCGGGGCTCACAATCTACATCAATTTCTTACTAAGCCAAGTTAGAAAGTGAACTGCGCATCTGTTTTTATTTTATTTATTCCAATTCATAAGGTCTTGAAACTTGCTAGTTTCAAACTTTGTCATTGATATTTTGTAACAATAGTTTATAAATTCTGATTTTCCTATTCTCTCATTTTTTCCTTTAATAAAAAGCCCCCCAACTTTCCTTTCCCCCTTATTCTTTCTAATATTTTAAGACATTTTTGTGACTTAATGATAAGTTCGTTTTTGAAACATTAAAAGTATTTATTACTGTCATATTATTCCTTACTGTTGTAAATGATACAATGTGTTAAATAACCCACTATTTTACTGTGTAATAGGGTTTCAAAATAACTCGGAGTATAAGAACAGCACTCGAACAGGTTAGGTGTCAAAAAAAAAAATTTCATATTTCGAGATATCTCAGAGTAAATTTATTAGACATGGATATGGATGATTACATCCCTTGGGTAAGTGAATCAATCCCAAAGTCTTCTTTTTCACTTAACATTTTGTCCACGTTATTCACTTTGACACCACCGACCATATAGATTCACTCCAAACAAACAAATCATACCAACAGTTACGGAAATCGTAAAACCTATAATGGCGGTGGAGCAGGATGTAATCATAATAAAAAATCATCATCGTCAAACTATAATAATAATAATAATAATAATTATTATAATCGAACCCCAATTTATAAACAACAGCCCAAGCACATTGAATTTAATCTATCAAGTATTTCTATTGAAGAATATCATGAATCCATTGATCCAGCTTTTGATGATTATAAATTAAGATTTCGTTATAAATATTTGGAAGAGGGTATATCTATTTTTCTAAATGAAAATAGATGTAAAATTTATGTTCCCGTAGATAATATTGAAGCGATTTCAAAAATACAATCAAATGTTATCGTTTTAACCTTGAAAAAAGATAAAGATCCTGCAAGCTCGGTATGTCGTTTTCTACGTCTATATCGTTTATGAGTTTCGCTTACTATACGTGATTTTTTTTATGAATAGGTCAATTATAGTTCAAAGGAAGGTTATCTTAAAGACGATCCTATTCGTGATAATTTATGTAAGAATTTACTTTAATTTCCAATTCGGGATTTATTTTTCATAAGCGATCTTAACTCAAAATGTATCCATAGATAAGACTACATCAATTAGTATGATTGTTCAAGAGTCAACACCTCAACAAGTCATAGATATGGTTGGGCTTCATATACATTACCTTGTTAATAGAAACAACAAAGGCATAACAAGAACCAACAATTCTGATTGGGGAAGATCTAATGCAATTCCATCCCTTTCGGTAATTATATTTATCGTATTTACTTAAGGTTTGATGATTCGAGATAATTGACTTATTCTTTTTTTATTTTTTTTAAAAAAAAAAAAAAAAAAAAGATGAAAGACGAAAAACTTCTTTTAAAATGTCATGTTGGCGCAGACATTCGTATCTTAAGTTTTATTCAACCAATTAGATATGATGTTATCAAACAAAAAATACAAGCAGCTTTTGAAATTGCCAAAATATCAAAACTTAAATATAAAGACGAAGAAGGCGAATTCATTACAATTATGAATAATGCTGATTTTGACACCGCTTCTAAATTGTATTTGAAAGAAAATAAACTTGAAATTTGGATTGTCGAATGATGTTCAGGGATGGGAAAAAAATTTTTTTTTCATTAAATAATAATAAAATTAATGTAACTCATTTTTAATAAAACCATTTATGTCTAATAAGGTTGTTAAAATAACCAAAGTTGGTAATATGGCTGAATTTTTATATAATATATTATTTTTTGACCTATAATGTGCAAAGCAATTGCGCCTATATGCATACCCGTCGCAGTAATCTAAATGTATTTCTGATAATGCCTAATAAGTAAATATACATGTTCTGCAAGGTTCATGAAGATCCCAAGGGGTAGGTCATAAACTGGCTCTTGGTTTTGGTTGGGATGTAGCAGGGTGAAATAGCAAAGCAAATATATTTGCATAATTGGAACAATGAAACACTTTGGATCCACCTAATTTTCAATGGATATAATCACAGCATCCACATGTCTTACTGATACCAGTATATTCTTCAGTACATATAATTATCTAATACCATAGACAACTAGGTATACTTTTGCATCAAAAATCAGTTTTCTTAACATAAGGTTCAGTTATAAAATGAGACACTTTTTATTAAAAAGATAAAAAGTAAGATTAATTTTTAACCAATATCTTTTAATTTTATTTTACTAACTTTTAAAAGGGATTTTTATATTAGTTTGTTTATGTTATCACTAATTAAAAAAATCTTGGCCATGTTAATATTATCTGTTTATTTTTAAAATGAGTCTGCCATTTTCTATGCATAACTATTTCCCTATGTTTTAAACTCAAGCAACAAAATAATATGATAATTTTAACACAACCATTTAGCAAATTTATAGTAGCAATCATTAATAAGATAACAGATTTATATATATATATAAGCATAATTTGCAAAACTTATATCATTTTGTTTATATACTTTTTCATGAATAAAATCATGCTTACAGTCAACTCTTGTTATAACGAACTCTATGTCTTAGACCTCAACTTCGCTATAAGGCTATAGTGAAGATTTTAAG